AAGATCAAATATACTGAACAACTTATAGATAGAGTATGAAACCTTTTTTGTAAAATATTGACTTCCAGTAAAAGAAAGGAGAATAAATTCACGCAGAATCTTACTATAGTGGACGTAGCGTGTATGTCAGTATCTATGTATGTAAACAAAAACTCCTGCGCCATCAATTGAATGGCACCACGAACAAAAATCCATAAAAAAATTAACACTTCAGGTATTCATGATTCATGTAATTAGAAAAATAAATGTGGTATGTGCTTCAACCATTTTTTATATAATATAACATAATTTTAAATAAAAGTAATCTCCTCACAATATATATAAAAACATCACAGTTTGTATCAGTAAAATTTATGAAAATTTTGAGCTCAGTACGTTGAATCATTTTGAGGAGTTAAGTATAACTAAAGAGCACAATCATAACACTTTTCTAAATTTTGTTTGAATGAGGTATGAATACTACGATTAGTAAATACTAGCACAAACAACCGCCTGTAAGTCGGCGTTCCTGCTAGTATCGTAAACTAAAATATTCAGTGATGTGAAGTAAATAATATTCAAGAGGCTTTTTTTTTATTTTCCAATTCGTATGTACCTGACTGTCTAGATTAGGAATTTACTATGTCAATGTAAATATAAAACTTAAGATAGCATTATTTTCTTTCCCGGAGTATTTGAATTTATACGAATTGAAATAACTGTGATTCATGGCTTGGTTAACAGTAGCAACAGCCTCTCTTGAGGAGAAATGACTACAGTTGTTCTCCTCTTAATTCTATTTATGTTGACAGGCTTGCTACTTGTACTGCTTATTTTTCTCATATCCAGTGGTTCCAGTCCCAATAACCAGAGGACGTTCTAATATCTTGTATATTTTTGGAATTTTGCACAAAGGTATTCGAGAGCTATCTGCGCTAGCCGTCCCAATTTTGGCGTGACAGACTAGAGGGAAGGCAGGTAGTCAACACCACCTACCGCCAACTCTGGGGCTAGTCTTTTATGAACGAATAATGGGATTTACTGTAACATAATAACACCTCCAGGCTGAAAGGGCGAGCATGTTCGATGACGGGATTTGAAGTCACGACTCTTAAATTACGAGATAAATCATTTCATTATCAAATAAAATGGCAGCTTTAGTGATAAGGACAATAAATGGAAGCATACAGTTAAAGCATGACATTTACAATATATATATATATATGTTTGTACATATTCAATAACACGTCGTATTTAATGTGTTTATAATACTGTAGGCAATTAGCTCATTTTTTTATGTAGCAATGGTCACAATTTACACCGGTTTCTTTATATTGTTGTAAGCTATATATATATTTTTTTAATGGTGTAATTTGTTTGTTAGCTAGAGAGAACTGTTGTTTGGTAGCAAGCAAGAATCTCGGACTTTTGATGACGTAGTGATAACTTTAAGCTCGGGAAGTTAAGAGAGGCCTAGAACTTGTAGTAAACTCTAAGAACGTGACGTTTTCTAGCATACTTGAAATTAAAACAGTCAGGGTCGCATTAAGATACAGTGTCGCCCTAGAAAGATGTTTTTGCTGTTCCTACCTCCACGTGATCGCTCCAGAAGCGAAGCTTTGTATTAGTTACGTCATTAATCTCGTGATCAGTCACATAATCGATCAGCGCTGTTAATTGATATCTCGATCTGGTGCGGCGCCCCCGCATTACAAAATTGAAATAATAATTCTTCAAATACTTGTTGACGCTTTAGTTCGATGTTTCTTACATTTGCCGCCCTAGGTAGCTGCCTACTCTTGCCTATGCGTACATACGGCCCTGAAAACAGTGTAGAGTGATTTTCAAGATAAAACCATCGAGATACAAAGTAAGTGGACTGATTGTATGTTATTCTTATTACTGTTGTTAATATCATGGTATAAGGCCTAAATAATTTACATTTTACGACAGTGTTGTAGGCCTAAACAGTTGATAACATTTTACGGCAGTGTTGAAGGCCTAAACAGTTGATAACATTTTACGGCAGTGTTGAAGGCCTAAACAGTTGATAACATTTTACGGCAGTGTTGTAGGCCTAAACAGTTGATAACATTTTACGGCAGTGTTGAAGGCTAAATAGTTGATAACATTTTACGGCAGAGTTGTAGGCCTAAATAGTTGATAACATTTTACGGCAGTGTTGTAGGCCTAAATAGTTGATAACATTTTACGGCAGAGTTCAACTTCAACCTTGCAGAAACGTTTAAGGGGGGGGGGATAAACTGATTATTAAGTGAACTGGACATTGAATAATTTTCACCTGATAATTTAAAAGAACCAAAAAAAAAGAAAACAAACTATGTTAGAACAGTATTACTTTATGATCGGCAGGACTTTAGCCCAAAATGTTATTACCTCCAGATACTTATTATGTTTCCTGTATAGAATCTAAATGCATAGGGTAAATATCCCATTGTCATCCAATTAGTAGCACGAAAATAGCAGTAAAGACAGAATTTTGTTTGTATTGTGTTTGTGATTGCTAATAAACCTCAAAATATTAAAATTCTTCGGATCGTGTTTTTATTCGAAAATAAACCGGAAAGAAAAACAGCAATATTAATAAACGTATTGAAAAATTACCATATAAAGCGTTGTGTTCAACAATTATACATATAAAGTGTTGCGTTCAACAATTACGCATATAAAGTGTTGCGTTCAACAATTACGCATATGAAGTGTTGCGTTCAACAATTATGCATATAAAGTGTTGTGTTCAACAATTATACATATAAAGTGTTGCGTTCAACAATTACGCATATGAAGTGTTGCGTTCAACAATTATACATATGAAGTGTTGCGTTCAACAATTACGCATATGAAGTATTTTGTAATTGCAGAATGTGTCATATGACCCATATCCTAAGGATTAATATACTACATTGTATTTGTAGGAAGTTGCTGTACCGTGTATACACAAGAGTAGTGTACTACACTGTATAATACTATGCCATCCTACAAAGGAGTACGAATGTAGTAGAGTACTAGAAGTAAAATCAATTATTCTAAAATTGATGAGATGTAGGGATGAAAAAAGACATAAAACTAGAGAGCACATTTGGGATGGGAG